AATAAGTAAATTACATAGTGTGCTAAAAGGTAGTAAGTGAGGTGGAAACAACCCAAGTATCCATCACCAAATGTGTGAATAAACAAATTGTGAAAAGGAGAAGGCTATGGATCTTTATGGAAGCAGACTGCATCCGCAGAGCAGCTGGTGGGTTTGAACCACTGACCTTTTGGTTAGCAGGCAAATGCATTAACCACCACACCCCACCAGAGCTCTTATTAGAATATCAGGATAAATTTTGTAATAATAATAATAATAGTTAATATTTATTGAGCAGCTACTGCTTGCTTGGTACTGTTCTAAGTGCTGGAGATTCCTCTGAACCAAAAGGACAAAATCTTGCCTTCCTGGAACATACTACTTTGTGGAGACAGAAGTACATTAAGCCATAAAAATACAAAATAAGTAATTAACTTATATGGAAGATGATAAGTAATGTTAGAGAATAAAAGTCGTTGTTGGAAACAACCGTTGAGTTGGCCCTCAACTCACAGTGACCTCATGCACAAAAAACACTTCCCATCCTGTGCTATCTCCATGATTGGTTGCAGACTGGATCAGACCATTGTGATCCCTACAGTTTCCATTGGGCTGACTTTCTGAAGTAAATCAAACAAAAGTAGGATATGGTAAAAGGAACAAGGCTGCAGTTTTTATTACCATAAACAAAACAACAAACCCACTGCCATCAAGTCAATTTTGACTCATAGCGACCTATCGCACAGAGTAGAACTACTCCATATGAGTCCCAAGGCTGTAAATCTTTACAGAAGCAGACTGTCTCACCTTTCTCCCCACAGAGCAGCTGATGGGCTTGTACCGCCTACCTTTTGGTTAACAGCCAAATGCTTCAACCATTGTGCCACCAGAGCTCCTACTAATTATTTTCCAAAACAAACTCACTGCTGTCCTGCCGATTCCAACTCATAGTGACTCCTCTTTGGGTTTCCAAAGCAGTATCCCTACAGAAGTAGATTGCCCAGTCTTCCTTCCAAGGAGTGGCTGTCTGGTGGGTTTGAACTGCCAGACTTCTGGTTAGCAGTCAAATACCTTAGATACTATGCTACCAGAGCTCCCACTAATTATCTTAGAAGATGGTAAATATTGGGGAAAAGCAGAGTTTGGTAAGGGGGATTGCAACACAAGTTTAGGATAAGAGGAGTACAACTGATTGATTGAGCATTATTATCCCAGGGCAAAATCACCACAAAGTTATAGTGGTTGAGAAAGGAGATTTGTATTCAGCATATGCATCAAAGGAAAACAAAGATGTGAAATGAACAGACATGTCATCAGAACAATCTCCACCAAATCTGAACAGTATTATAAAATCAGCGGTATATATTACAAATTACAAATCAACTAACAAATTTCAAATCAATGAAAGCTTCATATTTCCATAGATATCTTAAAATTATTGAATCACTGGGATTGTTTCTTACAATTAATCAATGGTACAGGTTTTCAATAACAATAGTCAGAAGGGTCTTCACTGATCCTATAACCCAAAACAGGAACAAGATAAAAGTAGTAACTGTCCTTTATCAAAATGTTCTGAAAAGATATGCCTAGGCAAGTTCCCTAGTTCTTTGTGTGAGCCCCTTTTCTGTACCCTAGTCACTCTACTCTTTCTGAGATCAACCTACCACTCCCTGGGTATTCCCAGAATCATCATGGCTATTGCCTCTCCCTAGGCTATCCCAGAATTATCACAGACACATGAATAAATCAAGGTCAGAAAAGTTGGGGAAGTAACATAGAGAACTAAAAATGATGTCTGAACTTAGATTAAGGCTCAAGATGGCATTAGGGTCCCAAGTGTAGGACACAGCCTTCCACAAACAAAATGCCTTTAGACTTAGGCTCTAGTGCAGCATTTATCATGTGCAAACTTCACCTAAGTTATGTCACTTATAACACCTTATGAGATAGATGTGGTTATTATCCCCATCTATAGATGAGGAATCTGTGAATGCCAAAATGGTGTGCGGGACATCTGGTTTCCTCTAACTACATTATGGGAAGGAGAATCAGATCAATATGGCTGAGGGCCAGGACAAGAACAGATATATGCACACCCATGTTCATTGACACACTACTTAGAATAGCAAAAAAGATGGAAACAACCTAGGTACCCATCAACAGAAGAATGGATAACTAAACTATGGTACATACACACAAATGGAATACTATGCAACACTAAAGAGTAACGTAGAATCTGCAAAACACTGCAGAATGTGGATGAACTTGGAGGACATTATGCTGAGTGAAATAAATCAATCACAGAAAGTCAAATATTGTATTAGTTCATTATTGTAAAAAGTCACAGAAAGGTTTATATATGAAAGGAAACTTTCTTTTTTGGTTACCAGAGGTGGGAGGGAGGGGAAGGAATACTGCAAAAATAAAAATTAAAAAAATGAAAAAGAAAAAAAAATAGATCAATATGTCTAATTCATATGAGGTCGAGGTCAGACACATTTCCGTCCTCCAACATTTTCTTTTCTTTTTTTTTTTTTTTTTTTTCCTATTTTAGTCAGTGCATTACAATGGGTTATCTTCTGTTTTGTTTTGTTTTGTTTTTATTGTGATTTGGGTGAAGATTTACAAAGCAAACTCACTTTCTATACAGCAGTTTGCATATACTTTGTCTCATGTCATTGACCACAGTTTACCACAATGCAACAGCTCCCCTCCCACTTCCTCCCCATAGTTACCTCTTCCCAGTGTCCATCCCTCCATACTCTCCTGCCCCCTGAGCTGTCTCCCAGTGCATAAGCAGCCCTTTCTTCTCCCATGATTGTTC